GCTGGGGATTCGAACCCGCCACCTTAGGTGTACGTGGCTGGCGCCTTAGCCCGTTGAGCTATAGGCGCCGAGCCAAGAAATATTTTTGAGATGATTTTTCTGTCCAGTAGCCTCAGTTCATAATTCAATACCATCCTGAGTAGGTTTACATGATGAAAAGAATGTGAATGCCTTGGGCCAGGACGTGGTGTTTTTGAAAATAGCATTAGTGCTCCATCAGGCCTAATCATGACTCTATTATTCCCCTTCACGGCTTTCAGATTTGCAACATCATGAATGCGTCCGCGGAGGACTTTTTTGCATTTCAAGTAAGTAATATTTTATTTACTGTCTTAGTCATATGATATTTTTTCCTCCAAAAAGATCATTAGAATACATCAGAATCCACCTACTCTGTTGGGAAGCAGTCTCAACAAAGGAAAACCAGGAGAGGCGGAAAGCCATGTGCCGATGGAAGGAAGTGGGGAGGGAGGTCGTTGGCAAATTCCAAGATCACATTCAGGTGGGCTTTTTTGTTTTTGTTTTTGTTTTTGAGACATAGTCCTGCTCAATCACACTAGCTGGAGTACAGTGGCCTGGTCATAGCTCACTGCAGCCTCAAACTCTGTCCTCAAGCCGCCTCCTGCTTTGGGTTCTCAAAGTGCCAGAATACAAGCATGAGCCACCACACTGAGCAGCACATTCAGTTTTAACACTCACACCATGTGCTTTTTTACCTCCCAAGATACACGATAAACAAAAGTGCTGAAGTTTTATTATCAGATTTTTTTTGTTTGTTCATTTGTTTTTGAGACAGAGTCTCACTATGTCCCCCTAGGTAGAGTGCTGTGGCGTCACAGCTCACAGCAACCTCAAACTCTTGGGCTTAAGTGATTCTCTTGCCTCAGCCTCCCAGATAGCTGGGACTATAGGTGCCTGCCACAACACCGTTTGTTTTTTTGTTGTTGCAGTTATCATTATTGTTTAGCTGGCCCTGGCCGGGTTCGAACCTACCAACCTCGGTACATATAGTTAGTGCTGTAAATACTGTGCTACAGGTGCTGAGCCTTTTATTTGTTTGTTTTTGCAATGGAATCTCACTGTCACCTCTCTGTGGGTAGAGTGCTACGCTGTCATCATAGCTCACTGCAACCTCAAACTCTCGGGCTCAGGTGATCCTCTTGCCTCAGCTTCTAAAGTAGCTGGGACTAAGATGCCTGCCACAATGCCTGGCTAATTTTTCTATTTTTAGTAGAGCTGAGATTTTACTCTCATTCAGTCTGGTCTTGAACTCTTGAGCTCAGGCGAGCCACCTACCTGGGTCTCTCAGAGTGCTAGGATTACAGGCGTGAGCCACTGTATCTGGCCTATTATCAGAATCCCTAGCTTTGCCAGGGAATTTTTCTCTTTGTTTTAGAGACAGGGTCTCACTGTGTTGCCCAGGCCGGAGTTCAGTAGTTATTCACAAGCATGAGCATAGCTCAGTGCACCCTTAATCTCTTGGGCTCAAGCAATCCTCCTGCCTCAACCTCCCCAGTAGCTGGACTACAGGTACGAACCACCACAGCTGGCTCTGACCTCAAGACCTTTGCCTATGTTGTTCCTTCAACAACCATCATGTTCTGCCTAAATCTTCCCTGTCCTTCAAAGACAACTCCACATGCTACCACTTCTATTAAGTTTTATTCTGTTTCCCCTGGCTGAATATCATTTCTCTTTGGAATTTTTATGGAAGATTGTTTAATATTTTATTTGATTTGATTTGCCCGTTATTATTATTATTATTATTTATCTTTGGTGGGAGAGACAGGGTCTCACTCTGTTGCCCTGCGTAGAGGGCTATGGCGTCGTAGCTCACAGCAACCTCAAACTCTCTGGATTGAGCAATCCTCTTGCATCAGCCTCCTGAGTAGCTGGGAGTACTGGTGCTTGCCACAACACCTGGCTAGTTTTTTTGTTCTTAGTAGAGATAGGGTTTCACTCTTGATCAGGCTGGTCTCAAATTCCTGAGCTCAGGTGATCTACCTGCCTCTGCCTCCTAGAATGCTTAGATTACAGGCATGAGCCACTGTGCCTGGCCTATTATTATTATTATTATTACAAATGATTATGGAGCGCATCCTCTGGGCCAAGCTCCGGCACAATACTACACTGGCTACAATGGTAGACCAGGCAGGGATGGTCTTCTTTTCCATGGAGCTCATGAGGGTGTGAGGAAAGAGACACACAGTGGTAGTAAGGAGGGGGGCGGGGGATAGAGGAGGAACTCTCTCAGAGGGCCTGTCTTAATCTGGGAGGAGTCAAGAAACATGTCCTTGAAGAAATCATGTTTGGGCAGTAAAGAGAGGGTGGAAAACACAGGAAAGAGAGGGCTAATTATTCTAGAAGGAACTGCAATAAGCCAACAAATGAGAAATGAGAAACTCAGGAGGAGAGTAGCAAGAGAAGATTCTAGAGAGGTAGAGATTCCAGACTGAGCAGGGCCTGGAGAGGTATACGCATCAGTTTGTCTCTCTTCTATGTAGGTAGATTGTGTTATGGTCCATGATTTCACTTCCAAGTCGACAGCACCCTTCACCCTTGCAAGTTTCAGCTTGCTCAGCTTATCAGTGTTGCTGGGAAGGCTTCATTTTTCCCTATCCATGTGGATTTTATGTTTCTTGATTTTTGTGTATCTCAAAACTTTATTTATGATCTATTTTTTTTGCTCTTTTTTTTTTTTTTTTCCTGAGCCAGAGTTTCACTATATCACCCTCGGTAGAGTGCCATGGTGTCACAACTCACAGTAATCTCCAACTCTTGGGCTTAAGTGATTCTCTTGCCTCAGCCTCCCAAGTAGCTGTGACTACAGGCACCAGCCACAAAGCTCGGCTATGTTGTTGTTGTTGTTGTTGTAGTTGTCATTGTTGTTTGGCAGGCCCAGGCTGGGTTCGAACCCACCAGCCTCGGTGCATGTGGCTGCCACCAAACCGATCTATGGACTGTTTATTTCCCTTCCTTCATCTTTTATTTTCCTAACTTCTGTTTAAAACTAATTTCTCTTAGTAAAACATTGGCTTCCTTTGGTCAAGGTTGGGTCTTTTTTTTTTTTTTTTTTTGACATCTTCAGCTCTATGTGCCCTGTCAGTTTTTCAGGGGTTTTAGAAAAATAGTAAGGGGCAGCAGCCATAGCTCAGTGGGTAGGGCTCCGGCCACATACATCGAGGCTGGTGGGTTCGAGCCTGACCCAGGCCAGCTAAGGCAACAATGACAACTGCAAGAACAACAATAAAAATAGCCGGGCATTGTGGCAGGTGTCTATAGTCCCAGCTACTTGGGAGGCTGAGCCAAGGGAATCGCTAAAGCTCAAGAGTTTGAGGTTGCTGTGAGCTGTGATGACACAGCACTCTACCAAGGGCATCATAGTGAGACTTTGTCTCAAAAAAAAAAAAAAAAAAGAAAAAAAAAGGAAGAAAGAAAAATAAATAAGAAGAAAATAAAAATGAACATTAGGGCTCGGCGCCCGTAGCTCAGTGAGTAGGGCGTTGGCCATATACATGGAGGTAGGAGGGTTTGAGCCCAGCCCGCCCCTGCTGAACAACAATGACAACTGCAACAAAAGAATAGACAGGCATTGTGGTGGGTGCCTGTAGTCCCAGCTACTTGGGAGGCTGAGGCAAGAGAATCACTTACTTAAGCCTAAGAGTTTGAGGTTGCTGTGAGCTGTGATGTTACAGCACTCTACCGAGGGAGACATAGATAATACCCAAAATAATGAATGTTAGGAAGATAAATTATATTTTTCTCTTCAAAGAACATTATGGAAGAGTTTAGAAAGAATATATTTCTAACATTAAAATTGCACTTTATAAAACAAATTGTATTTTATTTGTTATGACTTTGACTACATCAATGTGATGAGTGTTGTTAACCTGATCATAACCACAACAGAACTGGGTCTTTGCCCAGGTCACCCAATTAATCACAATTTAGCTCTGTCAGTAAAATAAATTTAATCTCATTTTTAGATTCTAGTCTTTCTCCTCCAACTCATCCTAGTGATTACTTTAAAGCATAGGTTGAAACAAGTAAGTTCCTTCCTTAAAAATCTTACTGAAACTTCCTAATCTTACTGGAAACTTCCTAATCTTCCTAATCCCATTTCACTTTGATAAAATCTGTCTCCTTAGCATGACCTTTCAGAGAAAAAGGACTCCTTAGCAGCAGTTCTCAACCTGTGGGTTGTGACCCCTTTGTCACAATGAAAATACATCCTGCATATCAGATATTTACATTACGATTCATAACAATAGCAAAATTACAGTTATGAAGTAGTAATGAAAATAATTTTATGGTTGGGGGTCACCACAACATGAGGAACTGTATTAAAGGGTCGTGGCATTAGGAGGCATTAGGAAGGCTGAGAACCACTGCCCTAAAGGTTCAGGTAGAGAGCTGGGGAAGGCAGCCTTGTGCTCTTTAGGGTGTGTTTTGCACACTTCTGGGGACACTCTTGCACCAGGTACTGAGGCAATGTGGTTTCACTTTCTAGGGTCATCTATTTTTATTTTTATTTTTTTGAGACAAAGTCTTACTTTGTCACCCTTGGCAGAGTGCTGTGGTGTCACAACTCACACCAACCCCAAATCTTGGGTTCAAGCGATTCTCTTGCCTCACCCTCCTGAGTAGCAGGGACTGCAGGTGCCAGCCAAAATGCCTGGGTAGTTTTTCTATTTTTGGTAGAGATGGAATCTCACGCTTGCTCAGGCTGGTCTCAAACTCCTAAGCCCACGCAAGCCACCTGCCTCGGCCTTCCAGGATGCTAGGATTACAGGCATAAGTCACCACACCTGGTATTTCTAAGGGTTATTTAAATAATAAGAATTATCATATCACCAACTTGGGAATCTTTAACTTCAGGCTGGTGTGGTGGCTCATGCCTATAATCCTAGCACTCTGAGAGGTTAAGGCAGGTGGATTGCTTGAGCTCATGAGTTTTGAGACCAATCTGAGCAAGAGTGAGACGTAGGCTCTACTAAAAATAGAAGAATTAAAGTGATGTTGTGGCAGGCGCATGTATTTCTGGCTACTGGGGAGGCTGAGGCAATAGGATCTCTTAAGCTCAGGAGTTTGAGGTTGCTGTGAACTATGACGCCACGGCACTCTACCAAGGGTGACAAAGTGAGACTCTGTCTCAAAAAAAAAGGAAAAAGAAAAGAAAAAGAATCTTTAAACTTCAGAACTGGGAGACTCACTTACAGTAACTTTCTTTTCTACTTTGGTTCCCACAGTACTATAAAGATAATTCCCTAGAGAACTTCCCACACTGCAGTGTAATTGCTCTAGTGCATTACAGATTATGAGTAACCTGAGGACAAGATCTGGGCCTTATTTGCCTTGGTTTCCCCAGAATCTAGCTCAGTTTCTTGCACTTTGTAAAAGTTTGATACATGTTTGATGAACCAACCGGGAACAGTGGGTCACACCTGTAATCCTAGTACTCTGGGAGGCCAAAGTAGTTGCCTGAGCTTAGGAGTTCAAGACCAGCCTGAGCAAGAGCAAGACCCCATCTTTACTAAAAACAGATAAACTACACAGGCATTGTGGTGGGCTCCTGTAGTCCCACTATTTTGGAGGGTGTGACAAGAGGATTACTTGAGCCCAAGAGTTTAAGGTTGCTATGAACTATGATGCTGTGGAACTTTACCCAGGATGACAGTGAGACTCTGCCTCAAAAAAACCAAAAAGTTTGATGAACCAGTGGAAAAAGAGTCTAGAAATTAGTCTAGTTATCCTGACTTTTTTTTTTTTTGAGATAGAGTTTTACTTTGTCACCCTTGGTAGAGTGCTGTGGCATGACAGCTCACAGCAACCTCAAACTCTTGTGCTCAAGTGATTCTCTTCCCTCAGCCTCCCAAGTAGCTGGCACTACACGTGCCCACCACAACACTTGACTATTTTTAGAGAAGGGTCTCATTCTTGCTCAGGCTGGTCTCGAACCTGTGAACTCAGGCAATCCACCCACCTCAGCCCCCCAGAGTGCTAGGATTACAGGCATGAACCATCACACCTGACCCTAGCCCCACTTTTATAAATGATGAACGTGAGGCTCAGACACATGGGAAATGACTCACCAAAAGTATCTTATACATGACCAAAAACCTCATTTGTTCAGTGAGGTACGTATGCTTTCCTGCCAATAGGTGAGAAAATTGAGGCCCAAGACATAAAAATAACATGGCAAAAGTAACACAGAAAGTCAAGATAAGAGAGAAACAGCACAAGTTACACTACATATCTAGTTGATTAATTCAAAGTTACAAAAATCACCACCACTGGCCTTTTGAGCCAGTCCCCTGCCATTGCCTCCTGTATCTGACAGGGAAACACTACCTCTCTGGGCTGTTTCTATACATCATTACATCCCCAGCCCACAACACACTGCCTGACACACATTGGCCCTTACATCTTAGTGATGAAAAAGTATTACTACCTGGCTCAAAGAATTTCAGCCAGATGGGCTATTTGCTCATGGCATTGATTGGAGGCTAAAACTATGCAAAATCCAACAAGCTCCATCCTTTTGTTAACCCCCTTAATCAATCAGGCTGCAACAAGGCACAAAATCTATCACAGCTGCCTCTTAAGCCTGGAACCCAAGAAATCTATCACAGCTGCCTCTTCTTTTTGTAGAAAGAGCCATTGGATGAGTCTGGATGGATGATTAAAAATGTCCTTTCCATGCCAATTGTGAACAAGAAGGAAGAAATTGTTGGGGTGGCCACATTTTACAATCGTAAAGATGGGAAGCCCTTCGATGAAATGGATGAGACCCTCATGGAGGTATGGTTGCCAGGAAGTCTTTTGCCGCTGGGATTCAGAGTCAGCTTTCGGGGTGGGGTCCTGGTGTGTTATCATGTGGAGGGATGGGACGCTCACCTTTCTTCACTCTCACTTGTGCACTGCACTGAAATCCACATGCCCCTTTAAAAAATTTGAGTCAATAAACTTTACTTTTTAGAGTAGTTTCGGTTTCATAACGAAATTGAGCGTGAAGTACAGAGAGTTCCTAAATATTCTGTCCCCACATATGCAAAACACATTCCCTTTTTGTGAAGTTCTTGTGCCTGAGAATGATGTTTTTTATGTATATTCATGCTTTACCTAAAATGTGCTCCCATCCATTACTTCATCTTATCCTCACAACCCCTTTCTGAGGTGGGCAGCACTTAGCTTACCGAATCCATTTTAGACCTGAGAAAATGGAAGCCTCAGGGGTCCTCAGTCTTTTTAAACAGGGGGCCAGTTCACTGTCCCTCAGACCGTTGGAGGGCGGGACTGCGGGCCCCAGGATGAGTCGGCTGCTAAGCAGGACAGGCAGCGGCAGCAAAAACACCCTGCCAGCCAGATAAATGTCCTAGGTGGGCTGCATGTGGCCTGTGGGCCATAGTTTGAGGACGCCTGATAGTCTTGCCCTAAGTTACAGAGTTAGGATCAAACCTGGGCATTCTGTCTCTGATTCTTCCTTTCTTTCTTTTTAGTCCTTGACTCAATTTCTAGGCTGGTCTGTCTTAAATCCTGACACATATGAGTCAATGAACAAACTTGAAAATAGGAAGGATATTTTCCAAGACATAGTAAAATACCACGTGAAGTGTGACAATGAAGAAATTCAAGATATCCTGGTATGTGATGTTCTTTACTTTTTTTCTGTTCTAGTAGAGTCTGTGCCTCAGAGATGTAGCCAGATAAAGATGAGACTTGAAACTCCACTGGGGCACAGCCTGGGTGTGGGTTTGTTCTTTTTTTTTTTTTTTTTTTTTTAAGAGAGAGTCTCACTTTATCGTCCTGGGTAGAGTGCACACCATCAAACCCAACTAATTTTTCTATTTTTTGTAGAGATAGGGTCTTGCTCTTGCTCAGCTAGTCTCAAACTTCTGAGTTCAAGTGATACTCCTGCCTTGACCTCCCAGAGTGGTAGGATTACAGGTGTGAGCTTATTTATTTATTTTTTTTAAGAGACAGGGTCTCACTCTGTTACCTTCTATAGAGTGCAATGGCATCACAGCTCACAGCAACCTCCAGCTCTTGGGCTTAGGTGATTCTCTTGCCTCAGCCTCCCAAATAACTGGGACTACAGGCACCTGCCATAACTCCCGGCTATTTTTTTGTTGCAGTTTGGCTGGGGCCAGGTTCGAACCCTTCAACCTCAGTATATGGAGCCTGCACCCTACTCACTGAGCCATAGGTGCCGCCCTACAGGTGTGACTTTAGAAGCTCCATTTTTCACTGTGCTCCAGGATGACCTGGTGCTAGAGACAGGGTCAACCAGCCATACCCTCACTCTGAGAGGAAGCTTTGTCTGAGAGAACAGTGGACAGTGATCAGTTCCTCCTGTGGGATCAGCTCACTTAGAAGAGCCTATCAAATCACAGCAGCGTTTGGTGAGCAAAGAAAAAATTCAGAGGAAGTAGGGCGCCCTTACATAGTTTCATCACTTACATAACTCATAAGCCAAATTCACACTTACGGTCTTGTTTAATGCTTACAAGCATTAGCCCAGTAAGATAGGCAGATTAAGGATTTCTATCTTCACTGTGGAGATGATGAAATTGAGGCCCAGAAGAGAAAAGTAACTTGTTCCCAAATCAGTCAGGTGGGAATAGATCTCACTAAACCTTTATCAGAATGATAAACCAGTTCTCTACATTCTTATGAATGGGCTGCCTAGGAGATGGTGAGCACCCCATCGTGAGAGATATCCAAGTAGAGGCTGGATGATCACCGGACTAGATGATTTCAAGAAAAAGCATCCCTTTCAATGATTCATTATTCCTGGGAGTTTGGTCTCAGAGAAACCAAGATTTTAGAAGCATATTGAGTTAGCCAAATGGCATTAGATATGACATCATGTGGGGTTCCCAAGATCTTGCCTTACAGGCCTCAAAAGTTGAAACAACACAGGCCAATGTTTGCACGGGGCATTTCTTAAGCTAGGAAGATACCACAAAAAATGTGACCGTTTCATCCCAATAACTAGTAAATTCAGAGAGGCAAACATCTAGTTTGAATGAATTGCTTCTCAGTTTGCTTGACTCTGTCCATTATTTCATCCAAATGATAGGTCTGTAGCATCTGTGAAGGCGTAGCCTCAGTGAACCAGTTAACAGATTTTGCTCTGAGTCAAAAAATCAGAAAGAGGTAACTGGGTCTAGGTTCCTCTTCCAGCACATTGAAAATTAGTCCCAGAGAGGGTAGAAAGTTGACTCAAGTCACACAGTAAATGAGAGGAATAACCCTGACCACGGCCAATGCCTCCTTACTCTCAGTCAGTAATAACAACACACTATCAACAACATTTTATTTTAGTGTTTACTATGTGCCAAGCACTGTGCTAAATGCTTTACATCCATTATTTAATTTAGTTGTACGTACATTGTTTAAAAATAACTTTGCAGGGTAGAATTTTAATTTACCAGTTAAGTACTTTTATTGTCTCCATTTTACAGACAAGAAAATTGAGGATTAGAGTCCTTAACTAACACTGCTGGTAAATGGCAAAGCTCAAATTTGGATGCAGGTCTCCTGGACTCCAAAGCCCATGACTTTGACTTTGTTTTTTTTGTAGTTTCTATTGTTGTTTCTTGAGACAGGGTCTTGCTCTATCACCCAGGGTAGAGTGCAGCGGCACAATCATAGCTTGCTGTAGACTCCCAACTCCTGGGCTCAAGGGATCCTCTCTCTCCAGGTTTCCCAGGCTGGTCTTGAATTCCTGGCCTCAAGCAATCCTCCCCCCAACCCCCCTCCTGCCTAGCCCTCCTCCTCAAATACTCAGATTACACTTGAGTCCCCATGCCCAGCCTCAAAGCCCAAGACTTTGAATTTGCATATTAATAAATGTTAAAAAGAGCTGCTTCTTGGACTTTGGAGGAAGTAGGAAAATGAGAATGGAAAAGTAGAGGCAAGTTTAGGCCTTGGATGTAATAACATATTTTTTTTCTGGTATTTTGGGTTCTGGCAGAAAACCAGAGAAGTGTATGGGAAGGAGCCATGGGAATGTGAGGAAGAGGAGCTGGCTGAGATCCTGGTGAGCTGAACTAGAACAAAACTGGCTCTGCTGTGTGACGAGTGCAGGGTGCTCCTGGGCATGTGTGGGCATCTCTTTGCAAGCATGTTCCCCACCCCTCAGCTCTGATGCTCCCAACAGATCCGGGGTAGGAACAGGACTGGGGATGGGGGACCCGGAACCGTTCATGTTCCCTAATCACTTGACTCTGCTCTTGATACAGCAAGCAGAGCTCCCAGATGCAGACAAATTTGAAATTAATAAATTCCACTTCAGCGACTTGCCCTTAACAGAACTGGACCTGGTGAAATGTGGAATACAGATGTATTATGAGCTCAGAGTGGTGGATAAATTTCACATTCCGCAAGAGGTGAGGTCCAAACAAACTTCTTTGGTTTCCTTTCTTCTTTTTCTTTCTTTCTTGTTTTTTTTTTTTTTTAACTGAATCTGTAAAGTGCCTTAAAAAAGAGTGTAGTCTCTGTGTTTAGTCAGGTTGTACAGATGAATCCTTTATCAGGGAAGAGACACACTGTTCCTGGGAAGTGTGACATTCTGTGTGCATTGGTTTCCTGCAGTGGGCTCTCAAGGCTGTGAATAGACGTGCTGCAAAAAAGTGCCTGAGAGTCAAACAAGGTTGGGAAATGTGGCTAAGCCAATGGAAACAGGGCTCTTTTCCTTCAGGATTCCTTACTAAGGCGCCTGTGAATCTAAGGGGTTGGGGGACGGGCAGAGGTGTACCTGAGAGGGGCTATGGTGCAGAGAATTTTCCAGACTTGTTTGATTAAAGCAGTGGTTCTCAAAGTGTTGCTGCAGACCACATTAGCATCACCTAAGAACTTACCAGAAATGCAAATTCTCTCTCTCTCTCACACACACACATACTCCCAGGTGTAATGAATCAGAAATTCTGGGTTTTATTAAATAGCAAGCCCTTCAAATGGTTCTGATGCACACTCAAGTTTGAGAACCACTGAATTAAAGACCTTTTTGTTGGGTGGCGCCTGTGGCTCAAAGGAGTAGGGCGTTGGCTCCATATGCTGGAGGTGGAGGGTTCAAACCCAGCTCCAGCCAAAAAAAAAAAAAGACCTTTTTGTTTTCTTCCCCCTGTAAGTCCCCTATTAGCTTCTCCCAGGTCACTCCCTTTCTGGGGCACAGTTAGGGAATCATTAAGGGAGACCAGTCAGTAGAATGACTCACAGCCCCCTTATTTTCTAACAACAACACCCATTTTCATAGTGTTTAGCAATTTGCAAATTAACTTCACAGCATTATTGCATCATTGCTAGTTCCTACCTTCTGGTCCAATGATGGGGTTGGAGGACCCCAGGCCGCAGAAGGAGGATGGGCCTGGGCACAGGGCTAAACGTGTGCTGCCGCCTCACTGCTGTGTGTGTGTTCACAGGCCCTGGTGCGGTTCATGTACTCCCTGAGCAAGGGCTACCGCAGGATCACCTACCATAACTGGCGGCACGGCTTCAACGTGGGGCAGACCATGTTCTCCTTGCTGGTGGTACAGTGGGGCTGGCGGGGTGAGAGGGATGGAGGGGGCGGGCCTATGCCACATGGGGCAACCCCATATAGACTCCATAAGGCAGCAACAGCTTTGTTCTTTATTTATTGTCCTTTAAGAATTATGTAAAAACGAGGCTGGGCGCCATGGCTTACACCCTAGCACTCTGGGAGGCCAAGGCGGTGGATCACCTGAGCTAAGGAGTTTGAGACCAGCCTGAGCAAGAGCAAGACCCCATTTCTACTAAAAATAGAAAAACTAGCCAGGCATTGTGGTGGGCCCCTGTAGCCAACTACTCAGAGGACTGAGGCAAGAGGATTGCTCAAGCCCAAGAGTTTGAGATTGCTGTGAGCTATGATGCTGCATTGCCATGGCACTTTACCCAAGGTGACAGAGTGAGACTGTCTCAAAAAAAAAAAAAAAAATTATGGCTCAGTGCCTGTGGCTCAGGCACCAGCCACATACACCTGAGCTGGCAGGTTTGAATCCAGCCAGGGCCCACCAAATAACAATGACAGCAGCAACCAAAAAATAGCCGGGCATTGTGGCAGGTGCCTATAGTCCCAGCTACTTGGGAGGCTGAGACAGGAGAATCACTTGAGCCAGGAGTTGGAGGTTGCTGCGAGCTGTGATACCACAGCACTCTACCCAGGGTGATAGCTTGAGGCTCTGTCTCAAAAAAAAAAAAATTATGCCAAAGTAGTACATGCTTGACATAAAAGAATCCCAAGAATGGAAAAGCATGTAAAATTAGAAGTGAAAAAAAGTTGCTTCCTACCCCAACCTCAGTCTGGTTATTTGGAGGTAACCATGACACAACTCTTCCCAGATTTGCCTTCTTGGAGCTGTTGAAAGAAAAACTTTACCCAAATTAAATTTAGTAGACATCATTGAACAAAGAAACAATTCACCAATCAGTAAAGGTTCAGAGAGCTCCACACAGCAATGTAGGGGCAGGCAGTATTTATAGACAGAAAAAGCAAATAACATAGAAATAGCTTGATTGGTGACAACTCGATATTTGGACATGTCTGAACACTTTGCAGCCTGTGATTGACTGAAAGCTCTGCTGTTGTGTTGTGTTCGGCCAAAACTTTTGTTTTGTTTTTTGTTTTCAAACAGAATCTCCCTCTGTTGCCCTGGGTAGAGTGCAATGGCACCATAGCTCACTGCAACCTCAAACTCTTGGGCTCAAGCAATCCTCCTGCCTCAGACACCTGAGTAGCTGGCACTACAGGTTCCTGCCACAATGCCCAGCTAATTTTCCTATTGTCAGTAGAGATAGGGTCTCCCTCTTCCTCAGGCTGGTCTCGAACTCCTGAGCTCAAGCAATCCTCCCCCTTCGGCCTCCCAGTGTGCTAGGAGTATAGGCATGAGCTAATGCACTGAGCCCAAAACTTGATTATTTGTTATTAAGAATATACTCTCAGGTTGTGATTTGTTCACATATTAGGTTAGGTTACAGTTTGATACGTATAGAAACAGATTTAGGTCAAATTTCATTTAATTTAACAATTTCCCTCTTTTGGTCAGCCTTTGAACTTTGAGAGATCAACCAAAACCTTGGGTACAGACACCACTTTTTATCATCATCACAATGGACTTGTTTGGTATCAATACAGAATACACAAATCACAATGTCAGATTAATCGGTTGATTCTTTGTGCTTTCTTCATATTTTTGTTATTTTAAGTATAATAAGACCATTTAAGGTATAAAGCATAGCTGCATATAAGCATCATGGATTCTTGGGGCTATTACTAGGATGTCTACAGGAGGATAATTCCAATAAGCTGAATTATACTCCTTAACAGGAGTCCCAGAAACCAAATTGACCAAAATCAAACAATTCAAAGTTCAAGCAATAAAGACCCGGTATAAAGATAATTCAACAGTTCAACAGTTCAGTTGGTCGTAGTCTTCAGGGAATGATAGTGATTAAGGACATAGTTCACTGTAAAATGGCCTGATATAGGGTAGGCTTAGTGGCTTATGAGTATAATCCTAACTCTCTGAGAGTCCAAAATAGGAGGATGCCTTGAGCTCAGGAGTTCAAGACCAGCCTGAGCAGGAGTCAGACCCCATCTATACAAAAAATAGAAAAGTTAGCTAGGCATTGTGGTGGGTGTCTGTTGTCTCAGCTGCTTGGGAGGCTGAGGCGGGAGGATCACCTGAGCCCAGAAGTTTGAGGTTGCAATGAGTTATGATGACACCACTGCACTCTAGCCAGTGAGACAGAATGAGACTCTATCTTGGGGGAAAAAAAGAGAGAAAGTCTTGGAATAGAAAGCCTTGCCATTCACCATTCAAGATGTATGCAAACCAACTGTTAGCTGCTCCTATAAATATAACATGTGTTCCTTTCCCCCGAGGAATTTCCTTTAATTTCCTTAAATATGGCAGTACAGCTATATCAGCCATCTTTTGAAAAAAAGATACAGGGGCTCGGT